ATGGGCTGTAGCAGCTCTATATTAATGTGCAGGCTGAGGGTTTGGAGGCAGTTTTCACAGAGATTCTTTATTCAACTCAGATATTTACCTAGTGCTTCTGTGTGCCCAATAGCATGGCCGGGCAGTGATAAGCCCCCCTTCCAGGATCCCAGTAATGATTCTTTTTTAAATGCATTTTTGGAGCCTTAAGAAATATAAGACCATGCTGGGGACAATACTTTTAATTTTTAATACACATTTTGACTTGTCGAGAATTGTTTTTTTTTTTAAATTAGTGTTTCCTGTTTTTCCACTAAGAAGAGGCAGAGTGTGATTTAGAGAGAGACACTTCAGAACTTCACAGGGACCTCTACAAGGGGCGATCCCCTCCATAGCGCTGGGGAGAGGGAGCTTGAAAGTCCCTGTGAACAAAATATGAATGGACTAGAGTCTTCTTCAGACGAAGAAGCTGAATGTCCACCAAATAAACATACAAATGTTTCCCTCTGTCTGTCAGTAGGAAAATGTCTAATGGTACAGTTTAAATAGGAGAAAGAAGGATGGTACCTTAGACTGATTGATTCCCAGGTCATAAACCCAGGCGCTCCCTTCAAATGATCCCATACTGACATCATACTAACACAAAACAAGGCAACCTTTTTTGGTAGTGCTCCAGCAGAATCACTCCCTTGTTTTCCATGACCTACATCAGAGGGATTTTGTAGTAACACAGTCCTGGTTGTTCACAGGCAGGTACCATCACATTACCACTCGGGCATATTACAGAAAACTTACACTTGGCTTCCCTTCTCAGTCCATGACAAGAATTTTGAAAAGTCCTAAGAAGGGTTTACAAAATCATGAGGGATGGACCCGGACTGCTCATGCAATGCCTGGGATACGGCTTTATGTGTTCCCTAATGATGAGGGTGTGGCTCATCACCCAGCTTATTCTAGAGGCCCAGCTCGATGACAGGCTAGCGCTGTCCTATAGTCGCTGCCCTTCGTCCGTGTTAGAAACCAACCTCCACCTCCCAGTAGGTGGCAGGTACTCCTGGTGTCCTTTGATGGCTGTTCTCACCAGTCCTTCCTGACATGGCACATTCTGGAGTTGGCTCCTTCACGAATGAGAGGAAACTGTTACTTTATCAGAGTGGACTTATCAGATTTGCTTGGGCAGTTCCCGGGTATCTGCAGTACCACGAGGGTGCCGGGACACATTGACCTGAGGCTTCGGAGAGATGCCGAACAAAAGGAAATTTTTCCTAATTCACAGATTTTATTGCAAGGTCAAATGGAGTCGATTAATTCAGCCACTTTACTCTTCACGGAACTTAGGTAGCTTGGTAGCTCAACGTGCATACATCGATCAGCTTCTTGGGAAATAAATTGTGTTAATAAGTTGAACAAACACTCGTGTAATATTTTCTATGAGACAGGCCTTTTGCTAGGCAATGGTAAATTTGAAGTCAGACTCTAACTCCAATCTGGGGAAGGAAACAAACAAACGTCCCCAAAACTCTAAAAAGAAGACAGAGTATTAAAAGAGGTAAAAGAAAAAAGTTAAAAGAGCTTTTTATGATGTTACTTTATCCAGAGGTGTTTACATTTCAGTGGTATCACAGGTGGATTTAAGACGCTGGCCAGTGAGTGGGGGGTTTTTGACCTTGGGACAATCAGGACCCTCCCATTAGCCACACGGCCAGGGCAGCGCCCTAAACGTTCAGTCCTCTCCTAGCAGGACAGCAGGTGCGGGAAAGCAGTGAATGGGAGTTCATTTTAAGTTCAAGAAAATCGAGGAGGTACAACTGAGTTACCTCAAATGGGGAGAGTTTGAAGGGCTTCGCAAATGTGAAGGTCACTCCTTTTCAGAGGCTGTTTTGATGTTCTTTGTTTAGATCTAAGCTGAGCATGCGGACAGCCAGAGTTAGTTTTCAACAAAGCCATCCTCCACGTTATCTCCTTACATGCATCCTGGCAAAAATAATCATCATAAAAATAAACATTTTGCTCTGTCCCTTAGTTTTTTGGTCTTTTTTTTTTTTTTTTTGCAGTACGTGGGCCTCTCACTGTTGTGGCCTCTCCCATTGCGGAGCACAGGCTCCGGGCGCGCAGGCTCAGCAGCCATGGCTCACGGGCCCAGCCGCTCCGCAGCATGTGGGATCCTCCCGGACCAGGGCACGAACCCACGTCCCCTGCATTGGCAGGCAGACTCTCAACCACTGTGCCACCAGGGAAGCCCTGTCCCTTAGATTTTGTTTTCTGTCCCCTTGTTTATTCCCCTTCAAGCCAGTAGATAAGTTCTTCCTAAGAACAGCATGAGGTCACTGCTTGCAGCAAACATCCTCATAGATGACCAAGGAAAACAAAGTGTGTATGTATCATGTTTCTCACCAACATTGCTGCCTACCTAGGCTTTCTACTTTATTTTGGACCCAGAGACCAATTTTACGTTCCTAGTCCACCAGGTCTGTCTGTAGGCGTTAGTAAGTTATCTTGGTGCAATAAGGTGTTTTCCAGCCTCCAGTGACTGCTGCTTCTCTCAGTAGCATCCCTTTTGCCTGGACTCCCCACCTCCCCACTTTTTTTTGTAATCTCTCTCCTACTCAGCAGTCCCCTATCAGCATCTGCTCTTAGGTCCTGCCCAAAGACCAAGGTGTAATCATATCTTCAAGTAGTCTTGCCAAGGCTATTTGCATTTAAATGGGATTCAAAGCCTTACACTGAAGGCATTGCTCTCACAAGGCAGAAATTTAGACATTATTGGAGAGATGGAAGAGAATGCAGGGGGTGGAGGACAGCGATGAACTAACAAGGGCCTTTCTCCTGCTTCTACAGTAGTCAATTCCCTCTTCTAAGTGTAAAGAGTAATCACGTCTATACCCAGTCAACCCCAAGGAGGTCAGACTTGACTTTGACATCATATCTTTTCAATTACACCCTTCTCCTATTTACATAAACTACGTATAATTATGTGGATTCCTCTAACTCTCACAAGCCAACCAGGTAGGGCTAATCTGCCCAGGTTCACAGGTAGGTGGCAATGCTGGGACTTATTAAGCCAGATCTGTCTGGAACCAAAGGCCAGTCCCCGTCTATTATTTTACCCCCATACAGCTTCCGAGGAAAATGCCCCCTTCCTTGCTTTACTTCCATCCCTTTAACCTGTCTCTCGCTGACCTAAAATGCTTTATTGATTCCAACCTCATTTTCTAACATTACACTTTTATTCTTCCTTTAATAGAAATACGTGTTACATCATGTCAGGTGTAAGGACACTTCTTATAGTTCAAGTACAAGATATCATCCTTCTATATTCTCTTCTGCAGAATAACACTAATTCCTATATTCCCATTACCATTCATTGAAGTTGCTACTGAATTCCCTATGGCCATCCAATTAATCGGCTAATTTTGCATTCTCCAAAGCCATGTCTTTTAAACATAGAAATAAAAAGGCAATAATTTCACATGTATAAAAAATATTCTTGTTTTTATTGTATAGTTGATTTTTAAATTTTAAGACTTAGAGTTTTAACTTTTATATTATTTTATTATGATGAACGTATTATAACTAAATGGTGACTTTTCAAGTTTAAACAGTGATTTAAAAATATTAGCTATACATATTATTTTTATTGTTTATATGATATTCTATAAATAAAATCATGCATCTTATAAATATTTATAGAACCTGAAAGTCACAAAGTGTATCATAATACATAATTAATGATGTTACAGAGGCAAAGTGTATTTAGCGCCACAGACCATAATTAATAAATAAATGAATAAAAGCAAGGGTAAAAAAATACCACTGGCCTAGAAATTCAGAAACTATAACCAATGCCTTAATATCCCCCCTCTTTTAAAAAATACACAAAGAATTTGCATTACTTAAGAGAGCTTTCAGAGACATAATATGAAAACATTAGTCCTGATAATTAGCTATAGAGGTTAAAATGTTAATGGGCCATGCTTTTCAGAGATAACTGGAAAATGAAGCAAAGCACTGCCTGCATTCATTTCTGCTCCCTGAGACAACAGTTTATCTCAACTTCATTCAGGCCACCATTGATAATCCACCAGTGTGTAATTTCAAATGTCCCACAGAGGATAACATACAACTTGCCAGTGAAACCTTTCTATATGGCTAGCAATTTAATATCTCAGCCGTAAGTTAAATCTTGCCTAATGTATGGTAAATGATGGAAAGCCCCTGTTATATCCATTCCTTCCAACAGATAATTGATGCAGAGGAGAGACAAAAGAAGGGGCTCACTCTAAAAAATAAATGCCCCACAGAGCAATCTCATGCCTCACCTAATGCAGTGTGTTTTCATGGGTTTTTGTTACCCTGCAGCATATTAAATTATCCTCCCAATTACCTTGGCAACTAACACAAGAGCTCCTAATATGCTGATGACTTTTGGACAATTACACCAGCTGTCAGTAAGAAATGATAATTAAGGTATCTTATTATTAAGCACGGTGAGAATATGCAAAGTGTTTGTTTTTTATAAAACTTGTGTCTAAAGCATAGAGGAATCCTCATACCGACAAAATTCTCTTTCTCTACCTGAGATCAGCATTGTGGTCCCTTTTCTCTCTGGGGCTGGGGAGACAGCCAGATAAACTGCAGCGACCTTTGAGATATGTGGTCCCCCCACTCCCGTCCGCCCCCCCCCCCAGTTCTTTCCCTGGGTCTCTTTAGTTATAAAGGTAGCAGAATGTGATGATTTAAAGCCACATTTTTGGCCAGCTTACCTTCAGAACAATAGCAACAATAACAAAGAGTCAGTCCTAATAAAGGGTCTTTGAACAGTCAGCTTAAGCCACGTAAAAGTGTTCCTTTATTCTGCTTATTACCGTCTCCCCCAGAGGTTAACCGTCTTAAAACGGCTGGCATTTCGACTGAGACCAGGAACAAAGCATTACTAGAAAGCAAAGAGATCCTCCAGCGCCAGCATCTTGCTTCCCGTAATTCTCAAGAAATAGAACAACTCAATGAAAAAGAACCGATACCTTTGAACGAGAACATTCCAGCACAGGAATATCGTCTTGTTGGCTGCTGTGCAGAATGAGTTGCTTGGGCATATATCTCTCTCTTCTTAGCTACGGGGTCTGCTTGGTGACTGCTGCCAACATAGGGAGCGTTACAACATGTATGTGGTGTTCGTCCGCAATAAAAGGAGACTAACCAGCCCAGCTTGGCGCTGCTCGCCGGAGGCATCAGATCTTTAGACCCTCGCCATCCGATTGGCTGCTTGCTAGTCTCACTGTACTCGGCTGCCTTAACCTTCCACTGTGTTCAATATATTTTCCCCAGGGATATAGTCAGAGAATTGCTGGTTAGGGAATTGGAGGCAGGTTAAATTGAGCTGGTTTTAAAAAGCAGTGACATGATTTCCTATGAACATGTCTAATGTTTAATTTTCCAAAGTTCTACATAACCTACCCGGAAGAAACCTAATAAAATGGATATAATTTAACAACAGCAGTTTTGTGTTTCCTCTCTGAAAATACCTTGAGCTTACTGCACGCATAACACAGCACCGAAGTGATCAGGTGGCATCTTGCAGCGTGGCATGTCTGTATAATCAATATTAAATCAAAACAGATGGGGATGACAGAATATATTAAGAGGGTTATTAAAAATACCAGGCCATGCTGTTGAATGAGGCTGCTGAAGCCATCTCAAGAAAGTGTTATAAATCACTTACACAAAATGCTCTTACAATATTTATGGTTGACTTTATATATATAGCTACGATAATGAAAACCTAAAGATCAATGACAAGCAGTAAATGCTTTGTTACCATCTCTAGAAGAAAACTACCAGAAAGAAATATCAAATCCTGTATTCTATGAAAGCAGGCCAAATAAGGAAAGAATAAAAACGTACACCTTTATCATCTCCTATCCATATATTAGTTTCAATTTTATACTTAACTTTGGTTAAGGATTTAGAGCAGAGTATTTTAAAATACCCATTGGTATATATATATATTTTTTAATGAGAGGCTTCAAGTTAAAGATGGTGAGTTGACTGCATATATTTAACCTTCTGTCCCTCGCAAGACCTCACTAATATGACAATAAAGTTTTTATTTTAAAAACCATAAACCCACAAAGACAAAGAAACAGGGAAAATTTGCAACCAAATTTAGAGAATTGGAAAGCAGATGGATAGGTGGGAAGCGAACAGGGAAAGCTGAATCCCAAGATAGTAATGGAGAAAGTCGAGAAATGACACCAGCCCAAACGAGCTCTGGAATTAGAGACATAATGAATATTTGGAAGTGGAGATAAGGTGGGGCTAAAAACAGCAGGTGGTCTGACCACCCATCCTTCATCTTAATAGAACACTGGAGGTGTATTCTCTGGAGAGACTAAAACAGTCTCTCTGAACTGGCATGGGTTTAAAAAAGGTACCAAAATGAAAATATGAGAGTTAATGGGAAATGGGTCTTCTTTCCTGCACTCAGCTCCTCGGAGACAGGTAGCAGTGTGTAGACTCTTCAGAAAGGACATTTGAAGAGTGCGCTCTGGGGACTCTGACCAGCCCAAAAGATAAGACTCAAAGGAGCTAATATTGGACACTCCCTAACAAATGGCACAACCAGATGACCCAGCAGTGAAGCCACATTACTCAGCCCTACACAAGAGACTTTAGTGCCTCAGTCTTATGTATGACAAATACCTAATATCAAAGCAGAGACCAGAACAAACAAAAAAGAAGCAGGCAAAAAACAGGCAGACAAACAAACATGGAAAAAGTAAATTGGAGGAAATAATGGGTGTACAGGGAGAACAGTTAAATACTATCATTAATGCCCCTATCAAAATAAAAGATGCACAAGCAGCTCTCACTTTGCATGGTTCCAATATGCATGAATGTCAGTTACACAGTTTAGTTTATAGCACCATTCCCCTGGTAATACAGCTCAAATTTCGGTTACCATGGCGTATTAACTAAGGGTAATTGCATAGTGTACAAACTTTTCTGTTGGCTCTTCTGCCCACAGTCGCTAGTAGTAATAGGTGCACATCATGATCAGTGACCAATCACATCACTTCTTTCAAAGTCTGTTGGTGATTGTGACCAATCACAATCACTGAGCATCTGTTAGTTCACACACAGACTGCAGAGTATGTAGTTATGTCACCGCATTGTCTCCAACTGATAAACCCATGTGACATTTTCCAGAATGGATGATGGAAAGAAGAAGTTGGCCAACAGAGATGAAATGAAAAAATGATCACACAGGAAGTGAAATTCGATATGATTAGTAAATGGAGGTACCAAAGCAAAATAGGAATGGGTTGCATAAACTATACTGCAAAAGTCCAGTGAATATAAAAGCCAAGGTAAAGTTGCTTGAACATCTTTTAGTTTAAATTTTACTAGGAACAGAAAGCTGCTTACGGTTAAAGACTGTAATTTAAAAAAAAATTAATTTGGTTGGCAGTCAGGTCAAAGTGTTAATGGTAGTCGCCACATTAAAAGAAAATGATAATTACAAGAGAACGGAAGAAGAAACTTTTATCACCAGTAAAGGCTAGTTTCATTGTTTCAAAAGTTGGCATGAATTGATTAATATTAAACTATCTTGTGAAATTGCTAGAACAGAAAAGGATGAAATTTGCACCTAGATTCCAAAGATTGGTTAAGGCAACTGAGTATGATAAATTGGCAAATATTTTATATGGATAAAAGTGTTTGTGATGAAAAGGATGAAGATGTTTGAGAGGAAAATAATTTACATTAAAGGCTCTTGGAAATATTTCATGACGCTAAAAGCACAAAGGATAAATGGTTGGAAGCTAACACAAACTTAGAAAGGAGAATGACAATTCACCAAGACATGGAAAAAAATGCCCATTTAGTGGTTACACCATGAGAAGGAGGCAAGCACTGTTTTCAGAAAGAAAACACTTTGGTGTTTAATCTTTTTAATGTTTTAAATTACAGTATACTAAGTAAATATTAGTTTTATCATTTTTAATTTTCTATACATTTAAAACTGTTAGCATGAGTTTTAATGTTCTGAAAATGTTGTCCCAGTTCACAGAACAATTGTTATTTTCCCCATAGATTGTTAAGATGGCTTTGCATGGTTTCTGCCTGAATGCTCATTTTTACAATTCTGCACTGCCATGCAAAATGAAGACTGACTTTATTTTATCTGAGATCCAAGAACAGGCAGTTACAAGAAAGAAATACATGGAACATAAAAAAAGCTCTTGGGAAATCTCAAGAAAAAATATTGGAAGATAAAGTTGAAGAAATATTCTTGAAAGTTGAGTAAAAAGGTAAAAGAAGGAAAATCATGAGAAAAAAGGTAAGAAAATTAGAGGTTATAGTTGAGGAATCCAACATCTGGAAAACAAAACATCTAGCAAGAGAGAGTGAGGAAAACAAAAGGAAGAAAACCATCAAAAAATAATTCAAGAGAAATTCCCATGAGTTTCCAGATTGGAATTACACCATTAAAGCACATGATTGCCTCGTGATTGTGGAATTTCAGAAAACTGAGGACAAAGAAGATCCTATAGACTTTTGAAAAGAAAACCATGCATTTCATGTAAAGGATCAAGAATTAGGATGGTATTATTTTCCTCATTAGCAACACTAGAAGCTGGAAGACAATGGAAAAATGTCTTTAAAAGTCAGAGGGAAAATCATTTCCAACCTAGAATCCCATATCCAGCAGAATTATCTCTAAGAGTTCAAACAGAATAAGACATAATTTTTTGAGATCTAAGGTTTTTAAAATTCCCATCTCAAAAATTTTTTTCTCAGGAGTTTAAGAGGATATGCCCCAGCAAACTAAGAGAATAAAACAAAAAAGAGGAGATGCAGAATCAAAAGAACTGGGATCTAACATGATAAAAAAGTCAAGGAGCCAGCCACCCATCCCCCAAGATGGTATAGGAGTAAGATTTTAAAATAAATGCTATGTAACCAATCCAGGGAGCCCCCAGCCCAAATTAGAGCAGGCCAGAAATTTCCAGGAGAGATGCTGCTGGAAGATAAAACTGATAAGATGTATAACCGATATTTTCAGAAAGATGCACAAGAAAATCCGTTGATGATGGTTGCCTCTGGAGAGCAAAACTGGAGGGTCCAAAGTGGGGAGGGGAAAACATTTTTTCCTATATATTTTCTATACTGTTAAGTTTTCATCATAAAATTTTTAATGAAATTAAGTAATTTTAAAATGCTGTAACTGTTATCCAAGAAGAAAAAAAGTGCACTTTTGCCATTTAAGTGCTTGCACTTCTATAGTAACTTACTAATTTGATCTTCATATTGAACTTGTTTTCTAGTTTACAAAAAATAAGACTTTGATCAATATAAAAATTAGAGTAAAAAAAAAAAAATTTAGAGTAATGTACCAGGCTAAATAAGCATGTATAATGTTTGTTACACATATCATGTCACAAACATAATGTATTTCAATAATAGACATAAATTACTCCTTAAGATTTCCTTGAATAGTGAATAGTGTATTTGTAAGCTATTCCTTGAAAACCCTCCGAGGCACTTACTATGGGTAGAACTCCTTGGGGGAGGGGAGGTGATGTGGCTGTTAGTCTCTGGAGGTGGAACTAGAGATAAAGAATTCAGGGATGGCTGCCAGCGAGATGGCTAACATCCCCTCACTAAATCAGTAACATTACTAAATTTATGTAATACTTTCTGGGAACAGAATTTTCATGAAGGGGTGAAGAGGTTGGGCTTCTGGTCATTATTATGGGACGAATAGAAGCAGGTCATATTGCTATAGAATCTCGGAGGCAGAGAAAAGAAGTTACAGGGATTGAGAGAAATCGTGTGGAATGCTTTTTTTAAATTTATTTATTTATTTATTATTTTTTGCTGTATGGGGGCCTCTCACTGTGGTGGCCTCTCCCATTGCGGAGCACAGGCTCCGGACGCACAGGCCCAGCGGCCATGGCTCACGGGCCCAGCCGCTCCACGGCATGTGGGATCTTCCTGGACTGGGGCATGAACCCGGGTCCCCTGCATCGGCAGGCTGACTCACAACCACTGCACCACCAGGAATGCTTTTGATGGTAATTGCAGTGGAATTGTAGTTATGGTCAGGGCTGTTCAGGGTCTTCGTTGCTGCACGCGGGCTTTCTCTAGTTGTGGTGAGTGGGGGCTACTCTTAGTTGCAGTGCGTGGGCTTCTCATTGCGGTGGCTTCTCTTGTTGCTGAGCATGGGCTCTAGGCACACGGGCTTCAGTAGTTGTGGCATGTGGGCTCAGTAGTTGTGGCACACGGGCTTAGTTGCTCTGCAGCATGTGGGATATTCCCGGACCAGGGCTTGAACCCATGTCCCCTGCATTGGCAGGCGGATTTTTAACCATTGCGCCACCAGGGAAGCCCAGAAAATACTTTTCAAATCAACCTTTTTGGTTAGAAAATAAGCATTCCTTTAACATGTACCTTTACCTTCAGAATATAATCTGTAAGACTAACTTGTTATAAAAGATGGATTTTCACAGCTGACATTTCTATTCAATCATAT